TGGACTCTACGGCAGTATATTTATTTATTTATTTATTTTATTCAATTTATACCCCGCCCTCCCCGCTACGCGGGCTCAGGGCAGCTTACAGGAGGCATACGCCAATATAAAACATACATAAAACCATTTAAAATCGCTATAATCCAATAACATTATTAACAAGTTATTAACAAAGAGCTCTCGATGTTCAACATGGTATTTCCCAAGATGGTGTATTGTGCTCTATTGACTCTGCTCTATCTACTCGGCATCATCTGCTCCGGGAAACTGATGTTCCCTCCACCAGGGCCAGGTTAAGATGGAACAGTAGTGGTGATAGTGGCGGCCCCTACTCATACGCCTGGTGGAAGAGCTCCGTCTTACAGGCCCTGCGGAACTGCATAAGGTCCCGCAGGGCCCGGATCTCCTCCGGGAGCTCGTCCCACCAGGTAGGAGCCGCCACCGAGAAAGCCCTGGCCCTGGTAGCGGCCAGCCTGGGCTCTTTGAGGCCTGGCAAAGCCAGGAGATGTTGCATCCCAGACCGAAGTGCCCGCGGGGGAACATATTTTATTTTATTTATTTTATTTGTTCGGCTTGATATACCGCCCTAACCCCCGTGGGGGTCTCTGGGCGGTTTACATTGAGGGTGCTAGTCACAATTTATGTCCTTAACTTTTGGCCACATTATTTAGAGGGGGGTGGGATATCCTACCGGCACCCTAGTGGAGGCTGGTATTCTTCAGAATATATGAGGAAAGGCAGTCCCTCAGGTAAGCTGGACCCAGACCATATAGGGCAGTATACCCTACTGAGGCTCCTGCCTCTACCCCCCCAGGCTCCACCCCCAAATTCCCAAGGATTTTCCATCCTGGAGCTTCCAACCCTATCCTGTTATGTTATGCCTGAACCAAACCAGTGTGTGTGTGAAGCACAGGACAGTTTCAGCAGCGGTCCTTGGCCCCCTGAATGTCACAAACATGGGCCTGTTTTTTCATTTGCAGACCTTTGGGCTTTATGAAATAGATGCTCATTCAGTATGCAGTCTGCTTGTTTCCACCCAACCGCCAGCAACAATATATATTTTAAAGACGTCCCTCACCTCACTCCAATGGTGAACATGCTCAAGAGATGTTTCCCTTGCAGCCAACCGATCAGCATGAGTAAACCTGGAAAGAAAACAATGAAGCCTGCTGGGTTAAGTCACGACGGGCCAGGATCCAAAGAAACACCCAGCTGCTTCTTGAGCGCAAGGAGAGGATCGATTCCAGGCTTATGTTTCTCACACTCCTGGTTGGTGCTGGCAGGGGTCAGTTCGTAGACAAAGAGGTCCAGGAGCTCATTAGCATAATTCATTAGCATAACTTATTTGCATATGCCACACACCCCTGACATCACCGCGAGTGTGTCAGAAGGCAACACCCACCACTCAGGCTCCACTGGACTGTTTTGGATTGCTAGCTTTTTTTGAGGGGGGGATATGCAGATCTGCCCTCTCAGAGGAGGGAGAGCTTGCACCTGAATAAACATTGGTCTGAAAGGTGCCACTGGACTGTTTTGCTTCTTGCTCTGACTGAGGGCTGCTGGGAGCAGGGGGTGGGGTTTGTTGCATGTGCCCGTTCCCTGGGCTCTTTACTGCCGGAGCTCCGCTCCTGTGCGCTCCTGCAGGAAATGACCCCTGGGTGCTGGTATCTTACCACTTCCCAGGCCTTATGGGTGTTAGTTAGTTCAGCCAGCTCCATCTGTAGAACTTGCCAGTTGGATCTGAAGATCACTGTTTCTCCCTGTGCTTGGCCTGTTTTGTGTCAATCCTACTTTGTCTAGCGATTAGCGGTCAGGGGAGGTCCTAGGGTTGCCAACCTCCAGATATGGCCAGGAGATCTCTTGGAATTACGACTGATCTTTAGACTACAGAGATCTGTTCCCCTGGAGA